AGCACGAATTTTGATAGTTTTGTTCTCTGAGCTGAGAAAAAACAGCAGAATCATCTACCTAAGCTACGAATCTTCTCTACCATCTTAAGCATGAATTGCATGGTGCGCGGAAAACTTCATCAACAAATACATACAGTTCTTATCTAGAACTCAATAATCAAGTACTAAATTTGTTTGCGTGATGGTAATATTCGATCTCTTAGATCCATACTAATAGTGATATTAGAACCTGATACTCAATGACCGAATATGTACACGTATCTGACTCACTAAACCACAACTATGATCTAAAATAAAAATGCATTTGATGAATCATCAAGGGAAAATAAAGATATTCACTCTAGAAAGGTCACTAAGGTCACATTTAATGACCTAATTTAGACCATACAACAAAGGAATTTAAAATGTGACATAATGATGATAAAAGATAAGACTAACATTATTGATAGGTATCAATACCAAGATTTGATTTGATAATTTTGAATAAATTGAGCATTGGGTAGATGGTTATGAATAAATAATATATTTGTAATATCCCAATGAGTAGAAAAATTAGATAGTAGTACCTATTTAAACTTGGATTAGTTTTAATTTGGTTATTTATTCTCTGAAGAAGTGACTTACACTAAGTCACGAAACGTCAGAAAATCTAATTTCTTTACTCATTGGGATATTACAAATATATTATTTATTTATAATATTATTGATGTTTTAATTATACAAAACAAAATATTAGTTTATGGTCTGAATAATGGAAAAGCATATGCAGGAAAGGGAATTCAATTTCTTGTAAGGAACATTGCAATGTGAAATGTATTCATTCACATAACAAGTTGATAAGAAAAACCATATTATTTTTAACATTCAATACTAGTTACACAAACAACTTTTTTTATACATTTCAATGGAAAATGAAAAGTGGAATCAACAAGGCATTTTGTATTTGTACAAACAACAGAGTAAAAGTGTTTAATTATACCAGGAATTTATGGTCCGTGTGAGATGAACAAGCTACTACTATTACTACTTCATACAACACAAAATGAAGCGAAATACAAAAACGCAAACATTTATATATCATAGATATACAAGTAAAAAGGAGAACTTACTCGGATCGCGGAGATAGGAGAACTCATTAAGTCCTTGATTTGAAACTGGCTGATCATACACATGACATGCCAAGTGAACAGTCTTATATTCGTCATTACGTAAATGAGGTTTTGACAGGTATTCATTTTCGTGAACTGATTGATTTTGACCCCATAAAAGTTGTTTAGCTTTCAGTGCAGTTACAGTGATCATAAGACTATGACGCAGTCTAATACCACCACGGGAACGTTTAGCTTGATCAAGTTTTTGCAATGAAGTAAATAAAATATACTGTGCTGTAACAGGATTCATATCGTAATCCAACAAACCACTAATATGGCCAGACATGGCATGAGACACGAGCGAAATGAATAAGGATTGTTTGTTTCTTACTTTAATCATATACACATACGACTGACCTTGACTGACTAATAAACAGTTGACCTATCGATGAGCCAGAAAAGCCTTCATTTGTCACGCCATTTTCATTTAGCCTATTGGTTAAACTTTGACCAAACAGAAATATATTATACTAGACATGTGTGTGATATGATGCGCTCGACAGTTAAGCGATATCAGCTGATCAGGTATGACTCATAATTACAAATGACGTCTGTTGACCTTTGTCAAGGGTTGAATGGATGGAATATTGCCTGACCATCAGACTGGAGTATTATAATGATCTGGTCAGACATAAAAGATAAAAACTAAACGTTCGACCGAGGGCACTTAAAAATTGCTAAATATGGTAACAAAAAAAATGAACAAATGTTAGTGTGGCATAGACAGAGAAAATTGTGTATAACACAAAGTTTAGCATTTATTGTGTCATTAACATTTATGATACAGAAAAATGAGTGTTAACACTGAAAAATTCGATATCTGATCTTTTAGGTTACTTTAAAGCAACCTAATACATAGCACTTCCACTCTAACCTGATACTGATAAAACGAACGTACCAGATACCGAAATAAACTTAAAACAATTATTTATCCAAGTTAGTCAAATGAAATAAAGTCAACGTGAGGCTTGATAGAACTCTCGGTAAGATTCTTCAGTAGATTCAACATCACTGATGCTTTAGAGGTCCATGAATGTGCCCAATAATAAATGTTATTCAGATATTAATTAGTACCTACTAAGCCGTGACTAGTGTTCGTATTATGGATAGTGTCTGGTAGTTGAATCCAGAACGTATGTTTCGTTTTATAGTTGATCTTCTCACGAAATTGCTCATGTGTGCTTGGATGTTTGGAACATAAGTAAATTTTTTGTAGCAGGATTCAAGTTAACACTATTTAGTCCGGAAATTTACTACCTGAAAAACACGACACGAGTTGAGATGTTTCACTCGAACTCCAGTCACAGAACATTATTTTAAACTGCATTTCATCAGACTAACTAATTTCCGATATCACTTTATGTTAAGATGGAGTAAACTCCTATAAATTGTATGGATCTACATTTTAAGTTCGTCTGAATGGATACGTGGAAATTGCGGCTGATTATTAAACCGAACTATCCATGGGGTTGTCTGTAAAGCTGGAAAACAAATAACCCAGAAGTCTGAACAAGCCACTATGACAAGCAGTTTGATTCGCCAGTAATCATAAAATAGTCGTCGTATTACACCTAGCCGTTATCATGGGAAGAAAATAGTGTCACAGTGATTCATTATTGATACCCACACCATCATGAGTGAAAAACTTCGCATACCCTCCCCCTACATATTCCTGGATTTTGTTATTCAACAATATTAATAATCTAAAACACTATTGTTGGTTATTATCGTTTTAAGATAAATAAAGGCAATAATTTCTGGGATAATTACCTTTTTTGTAAAAATGAGTTATAATAATCGAGCTGACACGAGTTTAGATTCATTTCTGAATGTGATTATAAACACGAAAAATTTATTCTTGTGTATGTTATTTCAGTGACATTACTCTCAATGGGAGTTTAAAAAACACTCAGGAAACGTATTGTCGTTTCATTGTTCGTAATTTTTATTTCCATCGAGATAAGAAACTGTACTTCGAATTTGTATGCTGAAAGAATGGTCAGAGAGCTGCAAAAACAAACGGGAATTGACCTTTGCGAATATAATTCGAAGAATTTTAGAGGAATATTTCCGCAAGTCTTCAGTAAGATGTACTTGTACAGGATTCATCTTTGACGAAAGAATACTGAATTGCCATTTGTGGGAATTCGCACAACAATAATCAGTGCAATTCCTTAGCATACTAAAACAACACATGGGTGAGGAAGTCAGCTGATGCAGAGGTTGTAATGCTCGAAGCCCCTGTTGGTTCCAGGCACCAAAATCTTTAATGTAGAAGATACTGTTCAGCCCTAATTTTGTAAACGGCCGTATCCAAAGGATGATGTCACATCACCTAGGTAAATAATGTGTTCATATGAATGGATGAAATCTGGTGAACTATGATAAACTGGGAAGTCAAATAATTTCACTTATATGATTATGTGAATATCAGCTGCATAACCTGAAGTGCCTTCTACTAGCACCTGTAGATTAAAATAATATGAAGAATAGTATACTGGATGTTGTTTGTTTGGATGTTACAAAAAACAACAACAATGCGAATTAGTTTTTGTGCCAATTTATGGGACTCGATTTGAATCTAATGATAATACCAACGTATCATGACTTTATCGGTCGCAAAACGTCCACGATGAAACCATAATTTCTGTCGTTCTTCAGATAGCCAATGGTCAGTTGCTATATGTTACATAGAACATAAACTACAAATTTTGCCTAATTTTGGCTACTATAGAGTTCTAATAATACTCTAACTCTTATTCACTAATCACTGATCTAAAGTAACTTAAAGAATTTCTTATCCTAAACTATCGAAACGACTTAGACCATTTCCGAATAAAATAATTTTCAAATAAAAAATATGAAAATTTGATATCCAATTAAAACTAAATGGCCTCTACTGAACTCAACTAATCAGATGGCAACTAAAAATGGTTCATAACCAATAGACGAATTTATTTTAGAGAACAAAAAATGTGCATTTGGATGAGTTGAACACTGATTTTTAAAAAATCTAAACCAACAACTATCTTTCAATGTACTTAAAACCGATCGATAAAGGCAGAAAGGACTAAACCACTTTGTGTTTATTGTTTAACAGTCATTCTGTTTCACTTAGCCTGATCCCTAGTTATCACAGCAAAGTGATTCCCAACAATCACCATTGTCTTATCTAAAATAATGCATAAATAGATAATGATTATTAACGAATGCAAGTATTTTTAAATCAGTTAGTCCCTTTGATAAATTTTGATAATACAATGAGAAGATAAAGGTTATTAGAATTATGTGATATATTTGCGCAATATAAATATAAAATGGAATCCTTATTAATAGATGTGAAAAATAAACATTCGGTTCCCCATGAACAATTAGAACATGTACCAAAATACTAGTTGAATACGAATTCCCATGAAGGTACGCTTTCAGTTGGCAGCCTAAAAAAGTCAGCAAGGTTTCGTACCTCAGATCGACCACTTTATTGGTTTTATTTTATCTAGAGATATAACGATACTATGGCAATGAAACTGCTAAACACAATGATTTTTATTAGCATAGGTAATTGGTGAATTTTACAAGCTTGAATCAAGAACTGATTTTAGCTAAACCACCATTGAAAACCTGGAAGCACTGGATTAAGCAGTAGTATAGAGCCCCTCAACAGAGCACATTCACGACTCTGTACGCTGGAACCACATCCAGGATCTACTACCTCGCGCGCGAGCGAGCGCCTAACATCTAGGTTACTGAGTCTGGATCCAAAAGTCTAAATGCCTAGTTTCAACTAACTCAAATTTTTCTGCACAATCTTTATCTGTTGCTTGTGGTGGATAACTGTCTGATATCCGATACAGATTGAATTCCACTGTTAAGTGCGACAAACTGAAATCAACAAGAAATCATTGAATAGTAATAAGCATAAAATGATGGCATAATTCTAATTTTAAACTGCTCATTAATATACACCTTCAACTAAAACACAATATTGGTATCTATTGCTTAATATTTTAAAATTTGATCCAATTTATAACCTAAAGGAGCTATTCTGCAGCATTTTCGGAAAATGTCAATTTTCATTTCGAGATAGCAGTGTTCAATATATCATTATTACCACAAGACTGAGTAGTAAATTCTTGTCAACTTTTACAATACAACATTCGAATCAAGCTATGGAACTGAAATGCATAAAATTTTCAAGAATGGAGCATCAAAAAAATCCGTCTAAAATTTTTCTGTTCACTCATGATAATCAGTTATTTATAGTAACACGCATAAATACTACACATAAAAATAAGTTTCATAAACTAATCACTTTCTCTCAGTAGATCGTTTTTATTAACGACAGAGAAACATTAACATATATCCAGTAAGTCATATTGACAGACAGTTAAATACATATTCTATAATGATAATGTTGAAAGTGAACAACTTCAATGATGACCGGTCGAAAAAAAGCACATGACAATCCATTGAATCCAAACAAAATGAATTGAAAAAAAACACACGAACAGTACAGAACTATTCGTGAACAATAACCACGACGACAACAACGATAACAATAAATAAAAATGATAATAATAACAAAAATATGGTCAATTAAGTGCTGATATCATAAAGTGTATTATTATTCGTAGTATTAGTATGAATATGAAAATAATAAAGTTCAATTTTGACCTTTTGCCTTCTGATCCAATCCCAATCATATGCACTCGCGTGTCGATCACGAAGTAAGTAGGTATCAAAATACAAATATACACTGGTATATCAATACAATTTTATTATTATTACTATTACTGTAATTATTACTAGATTAAATATGATGAAATTAAAGTTATAAACATGGAAAAAAATACATGTGTAATAAATGTTGAGATTCAGTTTGTTTGTTGTTTAAAAAAATCGGAACAACACAGCCATAAATTTGATCTATGATGAATTGTGAGCTACTTGTTTTTTAATTATTGTATATAACCGATGAAATATAGGGAAATTTTCAGCACTAATTTTCATATTATTATTGAAAAATGGCTTATTATTGTTATTAATACTACTACTGATATCCTTTGTTGCATCGGTAGTAGTTGGAGTAGTAACATTGAAATTATTATTAGTAGCACATAGTGTATCACAATGATCTTTGATCAAAGCAAGAAAATGCTCACGTTCAGCTTGACGTTTATTATACAGTATCTCTGATTCCGATTTCAAAATAGGTTTTAATAAACCATCGGTAACAAAATGATAAGCAGCTAAGCATAAAAGGTCATTTAACCATAGATCTGTACTGGATGTGATGACAAATGACGAAGAAGAAGGTGAATTATTATTATTATTAGTGCTGGTAGTAGTAGCAGCATCAGTGCTTATATGGAATGAATTATTTGGCTCAGTGTTGGATAATTTATGAGTATAGCATAAAAATAGCCTGATTGAACAGTACAGTTAAGTGAAGAAATTATACATATACTATTAAGGAAGATAGGGCAAATGAGTAAATAAATCATATTTATATCAATGATCTACTTAAATAGTCTTACACTTACTTATTCTTAATCGATCTCTCTTCGTTTTCTTTTAAGGTGGAATAAAATAAAGAGCTATGCTATTTCATCTTTACACCTTACGATATGATAATATTCAGTTTAACAGATATGACACAATTCTATAAGTTTGTATTTCAGTTGTTGTAAATAGTGGGAGTACTTTTTGTTTAAATACACAATTTTGAACAAAAATATACCACTATACAATTAACCTTGAAGATGTAGTACAATATGAGTGACAATATTGTGATTTGTTTTATCTCGTTTCGTTTTTCTCACTGATAAGATAGAGAAGATTTATGGAGTAATAATACTAATAATATCTATCATTAATTATTCTTAGTTGATATCGTTCAATCGCTCAATTATATTAGATGTGTGCAAAATTATTAGCTTTGTCTAAGCAACTACAATTTTACGTTTCATTTTTACATTTGTTTTTTATTATCTGCACAAATTCATGAAACTGTTACAACAAATACAGTCATTAATCATTAAGTAGATGACATAAACGATCTGATTCAGAAGACAGAAAGCGATGTCCATAAATGATGCATCATTCATAGCACAACAAAACTTGAACAATATTAAACATTTATCATTCTCATTTTGAGTGACGAAATGACTGTTTTGAATAAACAGACTCTGGAGACAATAGATTTGTCCCAGTGATGGTAAGTCTTGTAGTTTACCTTATGACTGAATAAATTCTGTTATAAAGTAATTTGACACACTCTATCTATAGAGATGACAGTATAAATCAATAAATTTTCAATTTGATTCTCATATGACGGGTCAATAAATAAATGTCTGAAAGTTGTTACTTTGAAACAAGATTCAACGTGAATATTATTTAATTCATCTTTGTAGCATAAAAACTAGCTAACAATCATGAGCACTAATTCGAGATAATATTTATCAAAATAGTCTGAGTTGATGAAAAGAATTTGCTTGATTCAACATAAATGATTTCTACGTTACGAGCTTAAAAGCTGATATTTCTCAGTTATCTCAACAAAAAAACAGTATCAATCAGTTAGAGATGGCAGAAAAAGGTTACTTAACCAATGAGGTTGTAAAGCTACATAAACTGAGATGAATAGAACATATGTGAACCTGGTAGACAGATAAAATTGGATAGGGCAGCTACGATCAACCTGAAATCAAATATTTTACTAACCCAAAATATAACGAACATTTAATTATATATATAAGGAAAGGATACGCTGTACGTAGTTTTGGATCTGTAGCCGCAGCTAACAGGCATACAGTACAAGCCCATATTGCCAAATAAGAGGGTTGACGACTTAATAGCGTAGGAAATGAAAGAAGTACCCACTGTCGGACTAAATTTTGACCATTTTCATTTTGCATAAAACTTTCAAATAACTGAATGAGATAAAAGACAAAAGGTATATGACGAAAAATGACAATATAGAAACTAGTATAAACGAGCATTCTTATACTTGGTTATTTAAAACGGAGAATTTGAAAATAGAATTAGTCATACATGTGTCTGCCAAATAAATCGTTTAGTCAAATTTTATAGGATGATTATTTACTGATAAAGTAACATCACGCCAGTGAACAACAGATGAGTTGATCTACTACTGCACATCAGCATCACATGAGACTACTCCTACCTTTTCTGATAACGATGTCACGCCCACAATCTTACCTCTTTCCGCACATCATAATGTTGTTGCACTATTTTATGTAGTGCATTACTTAATATCCATATTGTACCAGGTTTGTGTTTAAATTGGAGTGAAAATAATTTAGTTTGTATGAGATCAACTGTTTAGGATATATGATAAAATTTTTAAAGAAAATTGCTTAAAATTATTCGAGTAAACTTTTACCTGAGTTAAATTTGAAGCTGCTAAATTAGGAAATGCATGATCAGCACGAGCGAATTCACCTAAGGCTTTATTCAAAACAGAATTCGGTAGAGAATCACAACCAAGTATTGACGATGAAAGGATTGACTGTTTATTCATTGATTCTGGAGTGCTTATTAGACCCGTAAAAGTTTGAGTCACATCACTACTGATAAATGGTAACAGTCTTGTAATCAAACGAGCTTCAGTAACACTTGTCCAAGCAATGTGTAATCCATGAGTAGGTTGAACGGGGGAGTTAATAAGTGATATTCCGCCACGAATTCTTTCCCATAGACAATTGATAGATTCTTGAGTGATAGCCACAATATTTTCAGAGTCTTGTAGAATTGACGAAGGAAGCGATTCGAGAGGGCTATGGTCAGAGACTTTTGATCCAGGTTTCGTTGAGAACTGACCGGATGTATCTGGAGTACGTATTCAAATTAAGAGGGTAAAGAAAGGAACACTGTATAATCAACAATTGTGCAGTTATATTTCGTGATATAAAATAAACCTCTCACAGGTTGGTATAATTTTGTAACTGAATATTCAGTTTAACATATCACGTAGTATTATCAAAAGAACAGTGTCAATATTTAAGGTTCAGATATTCAGTCTTTTTTATTGACTACATGTGATAGCGTTTATGATGATATTAATCGTCTTTCAGTAATGTCTAGAAACAATGATGTCTCTAATATAGCTTATTATTATCATTAAATTCTTCAACAGGTCAGTCAACGTGTACAAAATTATGAAACGGTTATGGTGTCATTTGCGTCAACCTTGAGAAAATTTTATTGTTTAAGGCGTATACTATTGTTGTTTTGTAGCTTCAAGATTTATGTCGTGTTGAATGATTAAGGTCAAGGCCTATAAAGTTCTGAATGTCTGTCAGCACAAGAAAAGGATCCAGAACCGACTAGCTTATGTAGTGAAGACTTAGAAGGGTCAGTCGTTAACTTAATTCCTTAACGCTAACATTAATACATAACATATTCAAAGACACAGGTAATAATAATACAGCAAGTAGAGTTTCTTTAAGGTTCCAGACATATTTTGCGACTGGTTACTAAAAAGCCAATGGTCACCTTAGAGGCTTATCGAATATCTCTAAACACTAAAGTAAAAAATTTATGTATGCTTTTCCTAGTACTGAAAAAGAGACAGGGTAGTTGTAGTTCTAAACATCAATCGGAAGATTCAAATAATTAGTACATATGAATTAAAATTCACTCCATTACACAAGCCAATGACAAACTGAGTTCAGCAGCTCAGTAGAAAACCGATGGCGTCTGAAGCGAGTGGTAGTGGGTTCGAATCCCAGAGGGAACATTAACTCCGGGATGCAGGTACATCCAGATGATGAGTCCCAAATAGGACGAAACGTGCTTCCTGGATTTAACTGTTAGCCACCGCCCATCTCTGCTTAAAAAGTGATTATGACTTAATGGCAATATCGAACAGTTCACACGATGTACATATACCAAAAAAGACTGATCAATGAGGAGATTCGAATAACCGATTCATACGGAGTATTCAAGTGCGTTTTAATTTAACTGTAGTAACTTGAAACACAACCAGAATCTAATGATTGGTCAATTACTTAAATTAGCAGTAGAGTTTACATACCCACTTAGGTGGTTGGAAGTCGTCGATAGGAAACCTTGAACCTAGGTTTTATGCTAATTGGAAAACATGACACTAGTCATTACTCAATGATCGATTAATTGGATCCACTTAGTAGATGTCAACATATAATGAGAATAGAGTTATAGGAGGACTTTTTATATTTAGGGAACCAAAATGTTTCTAGATTCAAGTAGCACCATGTAATAATTCAAATGGTAAAACACGATAGTTGAACTATACAATTTCAAATATCATACTGATTGAGAATATGTTTTGGATTATGTTAAATACTGGTTTATCTTTACCTATCAATACTTTATCATTTGTCCTATAAAGAGTGTAAAAATAAACAAAAGTCACTTTGTCAAACGGTACGCTTGTAAAAAAGTTAAATTCCTAATAATGTTTTCATGGTCAATTTTGTTTTGAACATGAGATGTTTTGTCAAGAAATAAATAAGTTACATAAATGTAATGAATATTTAGAGTACATATTTCAGTCTAAATTTTAACTTTAATAGTATTATGTAGTCAATCAGGATTATGCTCGTTATCTATTATTACCAAACAAGCAGTGTGGATAAAACTTACCTTCATTTGACATAGCAACTTGGTTAATTTTAATATTGATATTTATATCACAACTTGTGCTGGTACTGTCTGATTGTTGAGTATGATGAATACGTCTATAATGTTGAATGCGATCGTTCAACCGTCCTAAACTTGTGTACATACAAGTTAGTAGTAAACGAATAGCAAGAAAACTAATATGGGGCGAGCGACAGGTTCGTATTCGACTGATACACATTTTCTGTAGACTCTATGATTCACAAACAAATATGTTAAAACGAAACAGAATTATAGGAATGGATTGGTTTCTTGACAAGCATGAAAATTAGTGCTATACTCAGTTTCGATATAAGATGGTAACTTTGTTCAATTTCTGATTTTAACAAAGAGTATCAATGACGTAAACTACATTCAAATCTAATAAAAAAGGAAGAGCCTATCTCAGATTTTACGGATGGACTAATAAAAATCTGAGCTTGAAAGTAATGAAAGCCTTTAACAGTACAATTTTCAGGTATCTCAGAGACACAGTAAATCAGTTAGATAACATGAAGTCTCAGTATTTAATAAATAAACAAACTCTAGTCTCCCAGAATTCACTGAAGCTATTGCTATCTAATTCTTGAAACCTGATTTAATCACCTAAAAGGTAAAAACTAATGGTCCTTCTTTTCTCCGGTAGCCTCAAGTGCCCTGGTACGGTCAAATACTCACATATGGCCACGCGTACATAGCTACCACCAGGGAAGTCCTATTCACTGTCTTCTCGAAGACGGGGTGCTGCTCACGAAAATGAGAGGAAAAAAAGTGAATGTTCGGCTTCTAACTCGGGTTGGTGGGTATGGGAAGTCCATCTTGGGGAGCTGGAAAACCTTGATCACAAACCAATGGTGCATATGAACCCCAAGACCCTGAGGGAAAAAATAGTGCGCGAACCCTTTTGTGATCACCAACTACCATGGGACCGCATTTCTTAACGTTGCGTTACTGCCTTATGGATTAGACCTCTAGGTCAAAGGTTCGAGGAGTAACCCTCTGCGTTGTTTTGGGCACCTGGACAATTTCCCAAGCTACACACAAATTTAATGATGACTACTTTTGTGGCACATACGTATTTTGGTGCCCCGATGTGTTCAAACAAATAAAATAGATAAATTTTATAAGTTGGAATAAGAGGTGAGTTCAAGTTTTCTTTAATTTGATGTAACATTTTATGACACTAGTTTTATTCCTAATGTGACATTTTGATATTGGTTTCATTCTTAATGTAACATTTTAATCAGTATGACATCGGTTTTAGATTTACGAGATCAATGTGTTTGTATCAACTTAGTACAAATTTCGTTCAGTATAACAGGTATGGATTTTCACTCGATGTGACAATTATATTCTTTGTATTATGTATGTGAACTTCATATGTGTTTTACAGCCACTCTGTATCTTTTTATTTATATGATGTTTAACTATTCATCACGTGCGTGCAAAATCAGTAAATGAGTGTATTTGGTTTGATGATGTGATTTTCGATGGCCTTTTTTGACAGTATATCTTCAGTTGTACGACTCTTTGTGGTTTCATCTCGCATAGTGAGAATTGAAGTGGTACCCGTTCCCGAGAATGAGCAGTAGGATTGTGGATACAACAGACCCGACATGTACGTAACAGAATCAACTCCAAGCAAAACACAACTTTTAATTCATTACGTCATAATCCAAAAATTCTTTTATTGTGTTACGTTATCATACTATCGTTCAGTTAGTAGTTTTATTTCTAAATGACTTGACTCAAGTCATACAATTCCCCAGTGTAGTTAGCTTGTGTCCCACTGTTTTATTGAGTAATCGTTTAGTTTTGACCGTGGTCGATGTTCAAGAACCTTCCTCTGGATTTTATAAATATTTGTAACACTCTAATCAACATTTTCAAGTAAATTTGGATGGTGATTAGCAGTAGAATTTAGGATGTGGGTTTCGTCGTACATAGGATTCATCAGAAGGATATACCTGCAACTCAGAGTTGGTGTTCTCCCATTATGACTCGAACCCAATGTCTTTCACTTTAAACGGCCATCGCCTTATCCACTGAACTACTGAGTTAAGACAGTCACTGGCTTGTATAAATAAATAACATAACTCTATTTAGTGTTTTTAAGTTTATTTTTCTGCCAAGCCATGCTGATATGTTTTCGTACTGAATTAGAACCAAATTTACTTTTATGCTGTATGTTAGGCTTTCTCTGGAAATTTGGTTTGGCTCTCTTCAAGTTCATAATGCGAACCACAAGTATGAAGATGAAAAAATAATGAATTTTAACTGTTACGATCGATTTCAAATTAAGTCACATTAAGGGTCACAATCAATGATTTGTAGTTTTCAAGAATGAAAACCTGAAATTGTCTACATAACAGACTTACAGTACGTAGACTTATCGACTAATGTGTTTTATTTAGTCATTCATATTTTTCGACTTACTGTTTATAGTAGACAAAAAATATGTATAGAGTAGTAGGAAAGTAAAATTATCCAAACGATTATATTAATCTAATGAATAGGTTTCATAAAATTTGTGCAGTTAACCAGTAAAGATCAATATGAAATTCAAAACGCGAAACATACACCAATAGCGCCTTTACCAAGGCGTCCGGTATGAATGAGGCGTTCAATACCTTGACACCATGCCAAATGGACTGGAAAAGAATAACTCAAATCTACTGTGGTCCCTGTACTCAATATTGAACATTTCTACAAAATAAAGGAAAATTACAAGAAAGGAGAAAAATATGATGTTGAGAATTAAAGAATTATCAAAGGAACATAGTACGGAACATACTCATGTAATTTAAAGTAGATTATTTTGTGTTCGACCACTGACAATTACTTTATTAGGAGGAAGTAGTTTATGCACACAGGTGATGTGAGTTTATCGCATCAGAATTCGAATCATTATTATTATTATTACTATTATTATTATTATTATTATTACTATCATTACTATTACGATTACGATTACTATTACCATTATTATTATTATTATTATTATTATTATTATTATTATTATTATTATTATTATTATTATTATTATTATTATTATTATTATTATTATTGATGACCGTTCTATGTATACATAAATTTCATTTTGTACTGAAGAATTTTATTACTGGTTTGATCGATATTGTACAACCCTTTTTCTGTTTTGTCTATTATTTAGTCCTATTAATGTAATTAATCACTTTAACTGTGTTATACCCTAGCGGAGATTAAATTATGAGTAATTTTTGAGAGCGATTATTTACTTGCTTACTACTTACTTACTTACGCCTGTTACAACTTGTGGAGGAGCATAGGTTCCCACCAGCATTCTTCATCCAACCCTGTCCTGGGCAATCCCTTTTCAGTTCTTTACAATTGCTATTCATCCTTTTCTCGCTGCTTCCATTTCCCGACATAGTGTGTTCTTCGACCTTCCTCATTTCCGTTTCCCTTCAGGATAGCAAGTTAGGGCTTGCCTCGTGATTTCCGTAATGTATGTCCTACCCACTTCCAACGTCTTTTCAATTTCCTCATCAGCTGGAAGGCGGTTTGTCCTCCCCCCACAGTAGGCTGTTGCTGAGACCGACTAACGGACTAATATTATATATTTCTTATTGTATAACTATTCAGTAACCGGATTATGTATATTTATATTCCTCTTATTATATGCTTTATTGTAACATATGGACTATTATGATACGATTTACTATTCTTAAGTTATACCCAGCTCATTAATTACAACCTCCCACAATCACAGCCACTCTTTGGCTTATTCTTGTACAAATATTATTACCTATTTTATGGTACGATGTGGTTTGGTTGGTTTGTACATAAACCAGGTATGTTTAAAATAAATGATTCATATAGTGAATACTAATATTGGTGTTCTGAACTCAACAGGTAGGGCTAGGCAGGAAAAAGGGCCAGTAAGGACGCTAGGCTGCTCATACCGGTCATAAGTCATTGGTTTGTATAAGTCGTATTCTGATTGGCGGGTAAATCACGTGATATTTAAGCGGGCTAAAAGTCACAACAAACTATTCAAATCTTTGCTGTGCTATATAGACATATGGTTACATCAATTATTGACCATCATTTCTATAAATATATTAAACTCCATTTGGATATTCGATATCTAAATATATCTAGATTGAAAGGAGCTTGTGAAAATCTAACGAAACAAACGTTATTCAACTTAAACAATTCATTTTTGCGTTTATATACATATTCATTAGATAAGAAATGTAAATATTATCAATAAAAACTACTTACAGTGTTATTTGTATATTTTGACTGATTCATTATAGGCACATCATTAAGCATACATGATGCTAATCGAAACAATATAGCTGTTAGACCAGATAACATTTCTGTAATACCATTGCCTGGATCTGTAACAATGGGATAAACTGGTGGACCAGAAAAATGTTCGGTTAAGAAAAACGCTGTTGAAAGTATCATTAGTTGATGTTGTTCTATATGATCTGTCAAATCAATATTTGATATGTGAATTATAGAAGCTAAAAATGAAATTTGAAAGATTATTATTAATGATTGTTGTTATCAATAAGTGAAGAAAATGTTATGTCCTGGAGAAGATTACGTTACGAGTAACTTCTGAAACCTATTAACGGAATAATATTATCTATATATTCTTATGGTATAATTACTCATTAACTAGATTGTATATACCTATATTCCCCTTATTATAAGCTTCATTTTGACCTATAGATTATTGTTGTACGATTTACTGTTCCTACGTTATACTCAGTTTATTATTTACTGTCTCTCACGTTCACAGCCACTTTTGGCTATATTTTGTACGAGTGTCATTTTCTATTTTATGGTGCGCGTTGCGGTCTGTCTTGTTGATATATAAACCCAGTATGTCTGAAATAAATGATTCGATTCATATTACAGAAGCTGTTATTGTGTTCTAGACTCAAGCGGACGGGCTAGAAGGATATAGAACCAAATAAGGACGCTAGACTGCTCATACCGGTTGAACGTCATTGGTTTTGTCATAGTGCGAAGATTTGTATAAGTCGTATTCTAATTGGTGGATAAGTCACGTGATAAAAAGCCGGACATTAAATCATAACAGGAAATTTTTCGAATTGAAAGAAAAGTTATCTTCAAAAAAAGATTAAGCTGACAAGATCCTTGCATCACAATATGATGTCTATATCAATTGTTGGGGAGACCCGAAAAATTTTCCGGACCTGAAAAAGCTGGGAAACATCTTATCCAATCAGCATCTAATAGAAGTTTCTCAGAAACATCTAGAAATTAAGGAGCCATATGTCACATTTTTGGTTGAATGATTACCTATCCTGCTACTTTGTTTAGAAGGGTTCCAGAACTTTCCAGGAGCCCAAGGCCATCTGAAATGTTATACTTACTTACTTACTTACGCCTGTTACTCCTCGTGAAGGAGCATAGGCCGCTCACCAGCATTCTCCATCCAACCCTGTCCTGAGCAATCCTTTCAAGCTCTTTCCAGTTCTTATTCATCTTTTTCATATCTGCTTCTATTTCCCGACGTAATGTGTTCTTTGGCCTTCCTCTTTTCCGCTTCCCTTCAGGATTCCAAGTTAGCGCTTGTTGAAATGTTATAAATACTCTAAATTTTCTATACATAAACTACCTTGGGAATAAAGCGTTCTTTTCATATTCCGCGTCTTTTCTCTCTCATGTTCAAGTCGCCGTGTACATTTAGCCTGGGAGTTATTAGAAGAGCTTAGAAAACCGATTCAAGAGTTCAATTAGAAGATTCGTCATTACTGCTTATAACAGTGTCGGTATGAAGTCAGCAAACTGCGTCACAAGGCAAGCGCAAACCTGGAATCCCGAAGGGAAACGGAAACGAGGGAAACTAAGGAACACATGAAGCCGGGAACCGGAAGCAGACATCAAAAAGATGAAATGAAACTGGAAAAAACTCAAAAGGATTTCCCAGGACAGAGTTGGATGGAGAATGCTGGTGGGCGACCTATGCTTCTCTACAATAGCTAACAAGCGTAAGTAAACATGAAACCGCAGAAGAATAAGAGGAATAATTTATCCAGTGCGTGTATGTATGTAGAAAGTATTTATATTCAACGAACAATGGGGTTCGTAGGCGACAATTCAAGTAAAATGAAAATGGTGTACACAATATATCGTTTCCATAGTTTACAAATGCAGTGTATGATTTTGCACATAACAATAGATCGTTCATTACAATAGGTAGGATTTAGTCATCTAAGAACTGTAAATACCAACCAGGAACATTATGTTTTCATCATATTCTAACATAATTAACTACTATCACTATTTAGTGTAAATAGTCTTCTATCAGTAAGGCTTGGCATCAAATATCTGTTTAGCGTTGAATAGTTCTTCCAATTCATTTGTAGATCAACAAAAGATACTTTATTTATTTATTTATTTGAACACATAGATATTGGTACAAGGAGGCACCAAATACATATGCGCCACACAAATCTGATTTGATTTGTGCGTGGGCTGTGATACTGCCCAGGTGCCCAAACCGAAGCAGGGACAAAAGATACAGTTGTTTTTTTTTACAAATTAAAACATACTTACTTGCTGTTTATTTTCGATAATACAGTTTAATTCACACAGCATTAATTCATATAAAATGTTAGATAAAACAAAATGACAAAATAAACTCACACTCTCGTTCCACACTAGAAGTATTAGTAACTTTGCTAGCCGTACCTGGATGAAGTACAGCTTGCATGAATCGTTTCATACCGGATGATCCAGTAGAAGAAACTGACAAATTCTGGTTAATTAATGTTTCTGTGCCTAGTAAATTTGTTGTTATTGAATTGCAGAATATAGTGTTAATCTTCTTTTCCAAATAACTGCATAACTAGAGCGTAAAAAATCGATACAAAGTGAAATATATAGAAATGTATTTTTTTTAGAAAAATAATGTCATTCCGACTTTGTAGAAATCGCTATTGGGTCGCAGTATAACTTGAGACAGTAATTTTCTGACGTACAGACAAGTAAATCAAATGAGTCTAACAGAATCAAACACAAGTCATGGTATTTGACTTTTACAATCAATAAAATTTTAGGTAGCTTTATGGAGATTTATTTACTTTGGTGTTACTAGCTAAACAGCACTGATCTTACTGTTGAATCTAAACTCGTATGCCCTGTGTGGAAATGTACTGTAGAAAAATCCTAAACTAGGATTTTACGGTTATCTAGTGACATCTGATTTCAGTAGTTTAAATGATGTTGGTCCGTAATAAAAACTATATTTTAATAGGTCTCCTATTATCTGCATGCTTTTAGATTAAAAGAAAGATGTTCCTGAAATAAAAATTGATATTTTCCACTCTACCGGATTATCTCTTTAGGATATATCGGGGTTGAGACGTCCATTTTGAGATTTGAAAATTCCCATGTTCATATATACTGGGAAAACTCAATCGAGATAGCTGTAGATTATTAAATTAACCTTTCAAGGAATAGAAGCGTACATTCACTAATACATCATTGACGGACTGTTATGGTATATCATGAACTAACTGAATTTTGAGACTCTACAATAATAATTTTTAACTTTGCAGCTTAACAATACTGTAAGAGACTTGACACTTATGAGCACAGTAGCCATATGAACTAGCAATTGTGCCAGGTCAAGAGAATTAATATAGTTATTCACCAATATCTTTAATTTCTTGTATTTCTTTAAGTGAGTTGATTTAACGAAAGCCAACTTTAATAATTATAATCCTAACACTGAATAAAATAAAGCTAATGAACTAATCAACCAATCAAAAACTTACAAATGTATAGAGTTCATTTAACAACGATGAACCAGTCGGTGGACTATGTTGTTGTAATTGTTGTTGATATGGTTGTCTTCTAATTAATAATGCTGCATGTAATAAGTACATTGCACTATGTAAACCAGCATTTTGTACTGTTAATAAACTAGAATTAATAGCATTCATTGTTTGTTTTACAGCTGGTTCAAGTGAATAAGGTTGAAGTACATGCGAATTAGTTGGTGAACTATTAACTAATTCTAACACTGCAGTACATTTTGAAATCCCTAATGCTAACCATAAATGTATTGGTGTTTGAAATTCATCCCATGTTGGTAATTGTTTTAATGCTATTTAAAAAAAGATAAAATCTACTCATTTTTAATGTAAATTCAAATAATTAGTTAGTAGAGATATCAACAGAAAAGTAAAGTTTAACATTACAGACCGACTTTGAGTAGAGAACAATTGAAAGCCAGTAGGTGATGGACAGGTATTTCGTCCTAATATGCGAATGTTCAGCACTGTGCATCTACAGTCTCATTAAGGATTAAATTACGGTCTTTTAAACCTTGTGACAAGTCTTAGTCTTCAGACTAGTGAGATGGCATTTCATGATTTAAATTGTCAACTTTATACAGTTCGCGATATTGTAGTGAATAGAACACCAGTGGGGACAATCCAATGCCTTTAACAACCAATTACAGACCTAGTTAGTAAAATCAAACAACCATATATTGAATCGTTAATTTGCAAATTGTTCATCAATTGTCTCAAATTACTCAGAATCCCCTTGTTCTTGCATTTTCATACAAATTGCCTTCTGTCTTCATTCTTTATTGTTCGATCTTCTTATCTCTCTGCCGCCAGACATTCTGTTCAGTGCTCACGTCATATACTACTTATGTCTACATAAGTAGCACACACCACAATATCATCCATTGTCACTGGCGATACTTATCTGATGCCCGACAAAGTTGAACTCTGTTGAACACTAGATATATTATTACATTCAAAATTGTTCTTTTTTCGTGGGACACGTTGACATTAAGCACCAAGTTTTACTTCTGAAATATGTACTTTCTTTTGAAAGTGCTTAAAATAACTGTTATATATATCAATAGGGAAGTTATACAATAAGAATTGTTTTGTACATTAGATATTATCAAACAGATAGCTTGATTTCTAGAGGTTCATACAAATGAAGTCTTTATACTGACAAATCACTGTGCAGTAACCAGTGTCACGTTGCAGAGTACTTACCGATGATCGATCTCTAGTGACTATTAGTTCTAAGTAACTTGACAATCAAGATTTGGTGTTAGGTGCTCGGAGGCAAGCAACCAAAGGTATTTGATCAGAGTTGAGCATTAGACTACTACTAAGTGGACAATCAGTATGTGGTCTAAGCAAAATTTAGGTTTGCAATTTACTCTCCCTAGAGTAATGTCCTGGTCTTATATTTCAAAGAAACACCTAAATTAATTATGTTTGATAAATAATGACGACTAAATGGGTGTAAAGTGAAACGAGTTGAAAAGAAATCAACATAAGTCATCCCCACTCAATTATTTAGTCAGTAATGATTCGTTAGATCTTATATCATGTGATTCGAAATGGTAATAGATTGGTGTACTATTTACGAGATACTATCAATTAAGTTTGGATTATAATTATGAGGGTTTATTGATTATCACAATGCGTGCTTATAAGCAGTAGTAGACGAATGCATAACTGTCTTACCATCTTGTAAATGATCGTTTAACCAAATAAATTGTTCTTGTGTTGTAAATAAATCGGATAAAATGATAGCTGATTGGAGAATCGATTGCCAAACATCAAAAGCTGGTCCTTTCACTGTTGAAGTTTGCTGTTTTATTTGTTTAAAAGTAGAATTTTTATTTAATAGAGAAGAGGAAATAGTTGAATTAGATGTGAATAAATCAACAAGCTTTGAAGTCCCCAACAATAAAGCGTTCATATCTTCATGATCAGACCGTATAGTAAAAGGTTCCGGCTTAAGACATGAATGGTAAAATAATTGTAATGACTGAAGACATGAAAATAATGGATCTTCATAATTTTGTAATGTAAGAACACTAGTCGGACGATGATTAGATTTTGAAACTAGAAAGAAGTGATGGAGAATTAATGTAAATGATAAATATGAGTATAGATTTCATGGTTAAACACAAATGCGTATTGAATCTAAACTGGTTATCATAAATCTTTGTAAAATACCGTTCTGGAGAAAGCTTTTTCGATGTCTTACAGTTAGATCATAAGATTCGAATGCTTATTCACTTATCACAAACTTTAGAAACCAGATTTTATAGTCATTATGCAATCCAAATTCTATGTATGGACTGGGACTTAGTGGCTGAAAGGCAAACACCTTAATCACTAAGCTACCGCTCGAGTGGCTTTTTAGTATGGTTTTGTAATCTTTGCAGGACAGGATTAATATCGTTTATTTCGTAATAACCATTCACTTGTTATGCCCCGATAAGAATAATGAGTGGTAATTTTTGGGATCCATTTGTGGACCAATACTATACGTATATTTTGTGGCATAATTGTTAATTAACTAAACTATTCATATTCATGTCTCTTATCATAAGCCTTACTTTAACCTATGAACTGTTATTATACGATTTTCCATTCTTGAATTATTCCCTGTTTATTAATCACTACCTCCCTCGTTCACAGTCACTTTTGGCCAAATCTTGTGCAAATGTTATTTCCTATTTTATGGGTATGTTGTGGTCTGCTTGATTGGTGTATAAACAGAGTATGTTTGAAATACATGATTCATATCGCAGAGGCTCAGATTGGTGTTCTGGACTTAACTGGCTGGGCTAGACAGGAAGCGAGACCAATCAGGACTCTAGACTGCTCGTACGGGTTTTACGCGTTATTGATTCGATCGATGAGTCACTGCTCTGTAATCGGCGGTCACTAATTACATATTTTTCAACATGAAACAGTTGGAAATGTTATAAACACGGAAACAAATAACAGAACACTGTACGAGTATGATAAGTATGTGTAAAGTTCCAGAAATAAAAATAAAAAAATTGTCTGTTAGGACAAATTAAATATCTAATATTAGATAATATCGATAATAATCGACTTTCGTAGTTTAAAATACTCTCAGTTTATGTGACCATACATTTGACCATAGGATTTCAAAAAAATTATATGCAGGAGTAAAATCTACATTATTCCGGAATTCTGAGCGATGATAATCAGAATATGTAGGGAAACCAAATACTTGGTCTAACAAGATAACTCACTGATACAAGGTGAATCCACATCTGGTTGCCGCTTATTGCCTTTAGAAGCGAAAAATACTATTACCAATGAGTTTATAAGTATTATTGTTCAGTATTTAAGGGAAATATGGAATGGTTTATAAATACGATCTATTAGTAGTATAATTGTGCATAGTTGACGAAATTCTGGATTTCATAGTTATTTTTTATTTCTCCAAAGGAATAGATTGATGAAAAACGGTTAGAATTAAGGCTAGAGAGAATGTGTGTCCACTAAATTTAATAACATACACCCGTTCGTGTATCGTAGACAAACTTACCGACGTTATAGCAACGGTTGTGGACGAGGATTTATCGGTATCTAATAATGAAGGTGTTATATCCCGGTGAGAATTATGAATGGTAACTTTTGAGAACTATTTATAGACAAATATTATACAAATATTCTTAATATATAACTATTCAGTAGCTAGATTGTGTATATCTATACTCTTCTTATTACAAGCTTTATTTTGACCTGCAAACTGTTATTACGCGATTTACCGTTCTTGAGTTAGGCCCAGTCTACTAATTACAATCACCCACATTCACAGCCACTTTTGGCCACAAATTATAACCATCTTGTACAAATGTTATTTTCTATTTTATGGTATGATGTGGTTTGGTTGGTTTGTATATAAACCAGGTATGTTTAAAATAAATGGTTCATATCGCAGAGCCTGAACAGGCAGGGTTAAGCAGGAAGGACTGATAAAGACTCTAGACTGCTCGTATGGGTTTCAAGTGTCATTGGTCCGGTCGATAAATCACTGTTCTCTAATTGGCTGTATCATTACGTTATATATTAATAGGACACAAGGCCACAAGTTATAACAGAAGGGAATGGTGGTTAAGTATAAAATCTTTGTTGAGGTCTTTCAGCTACTCGAAAAATACGGTGATTTATTTGTTAGAGAACAGATAAACGGTAGTCATCAGTTATCTAGTTTTTTTATTATCTTAGCCAAACTTCACAGTAAATTTTAGTCTCAATAGTTCTATTGAAGAAATCAACTTTTAAAGAGTCTATCCTCTTTAAATGAAATAACTACAGACTCGAGAAATGTAAGATACAGTCGTCTATGGGAGAGTATACTGAAATCTTCAAGATGTCCTTGGCGAAAAACTGTACTTTACGTTAGCATTTGTAAACTTAAGAGATCAATCATTTCGGCTTTATCCAATCAACTAGGAAAGTCAATATTATATTTTAAATCAGATACGACATTTGGGACTTATTCCGCAAATAAAATTAATCAGACGACAAATAAAGCTCAAGTATATTTTAAGCGTCAGTTGTTTTCTATTATTTTACTCAAAGTAGTGTGAGGTTCGATTGTTAATTCTTAGAAAAAAGGGCGTTCAGATCAAATAACCGCTTTATAACGATTTAAATTACGAAGATTTAACTGTTTGGATGAAAAAAAACATGAAGACAATAATATACTAACTCTGGTTTTACAGGGAGGACTAATAGCTGACAAAATGAATTACCATGACAATAGCTTATTTGCTCATTATATGGTTTATGTGTATCTCGAAATAAACTCGATTTGATCTATTGATAAGGGATTAATTTGAATAAAATTTTGGGATAGACGCTTCCCTGAAAAGTTAACCAAGTTACTGAACTACAGATAGTAATGACGTTGTTACATTGTAGAATGCTACTCTGATTAAATAAAATTGACTGTTTGCTTCTTGTCCCATTTTAATAAACAAATGTTCGAAATACACACATACAGACACAATTATAAGAAAGAGAAATTCCCACAAAACACAATAGTTTAAAATGCAACCAAGAGAAAACAAAATTAGTCATTCAGATGTATATGTTTATCCTTTTTGTGTGTGCAGTAAACAAAGACAAGTTTTTTTTCCACTAACAAAAAGTGAGAAATCTACAAGCGAGGAATATGGTTTGATTTTTTCTCAACTGATAAAAAGAACGAAATGTATCTCAAGGTCAGTTGTAAACGATGTTGTAGTTCATATAAGTATGGCTATTTGTTTATTTTTAATCAAAATGTTTTTCTTAAGAACAAAGTAATAATGTCCTAGTAATTGGAGACTAGCTAGTGAAAACAAAATAACCGAAACTATCAGAAGAACAAATACTAATAGTAGACTATTAGGTAAGGCTACGATTGTTACGAGAATGCAATAGTTAGTGATTGGTCCGAATCAAAGTAGAGAGAGTTATTTGGTTGATTTGATTGCTTGAATAACGAATATGATTTTAAAAGATTATATAAATGCTCAGTGTTTAAAATTTTAAACTATCAAATTTCAGAAATTAAGTCCTTTATGGTCTATACTAAACAATAATGACAATAAATTATTCATGATTGAAAACTATGTTATCATATTATATCCATAAACAAATGCTTTCGAAATTAACCAATTTCATTATACAAGACTGAGTCGATCAACAGATCTTTGAGCAGCATTTGAGAAAATTGAAGAAATAGTATCCTAAAACCTCCTACTTATGCATTATGATCCTTTATTGCCCATTGTGGTCGTTTCAGGCGCTTCGAAGAACGACATAGGAGTAGTTGTCCCACACATCCTTCCCGATGGATATGCAATCAGTTCATTAACAACAATAAAACGTAGTTATAGTGAAGACAAGAAAGAAGTACTCTTAGTTATCATTGTTGTAAATATTTTCCATGAGATGATATTTAGACGTTGATTCACGCTGAACAAATGGCGTATGAACCAATCTTCGGTCACCGGCTACCATGGGACTGCATCTCTTTACGATGCTCCACTGCCTTGTGGATCAGATCTTCAGGTCGAAGGTTCGGGGTGTGGCCCCCTAAGAAAACCACCTGCTTCGGTTTGGGCACCCGGGCAGTATCACAGCCCTCACACGTATCAAATGAGATATGTGTGGCGCATATGCATTTGATGCCTCCTTGTACCAATATCTATGTATTAAAATAAATAAATAAATAAATTCACGCTGTTAACTGATCATAAACCATTAGTGACTGTGTTTGGGTCAAAGAAAGGGATTCTGGTCAGCACAGTTAATCGATAAGAATGATGTGTGTTGCAGTAGAACTAATTAACAATTCTACATCTTGTTACGTATTAAGAGGTTAGGATTTCACTGAGCTAGTGATCAGTATAGACTTAGTATAAAGTAAAAAAAATTGTCTGAACACTTATTACGTAATTCCTAATGAGTGCTATGTTAGTGTCTGCTTTTCCGAGTATTTGGCCTACTTCCTATTATAAAGTATTGACTCAAGCTTTTAATAATCTTATTAAAACTAGTATACCTGTCATCACACTTCTTCTTTACTATATTTATTTATGCAATCAATGCAATAATTAACTCATAAATTGTCTTGATTAGTTTGGTATTTTCATGTATGCTTAGAAATATTACTGTATATAACCCTGAGTAGGATCTGACTGAAAACAATGTAGTTTGCTTATATGTGTTGACCTAAAACTACAGGAGACAAAGTAACATAGATTATTGAATATCGGTTCTATAGTCAGTGGAATTGTATCACTCGAACTAGTAGAACCGAGTAAGGTGTTGAGTGTGTCCCACAATATTCCTCATTAGTGTTTATAGTCACAGGAACACCAGGAAACGTTTTAACCAATCAGGGTTGAATAGAAGCATCACAGAAACATCTAGAGAATACATAATCATGCTCTACGGTATTGATTGGATATTTACATACACTGCTACTACTATATTTACTGATTTCAGAAGTTTCCAGAGTCTCAAGGTTATGTGAAACCATAAATATCCCCATTTTTCTGTATATAGACTAAACTCGTAATTCGCGCCCTCTTTCTAGTGTTCTAGTTAACTGGTAGAAATAGTCGAGGTTAAAGGGAATAGGATGGGAAGACCGTTTAAGCGTATCGGTAGAATAGATGAATAGAAAGACAGTGTGAGAAGAGTAACAACCTTGATTACTTGTATTGATTTTATCCAATCAAAATTACATCAACACTACTTCAACTTTCACTTGTTTGAGAAGTCGTTGAGTTATCTATGACTCGGAATATAAGAAATGATCAGTAAGTAATCCGAAGGGATAAAATTCTTTAAACTATTCAAACTCACTTGGTAAAGGGTTAATAGATTGTGATGTAGTTAACTGCAGTTTTTCACTTTCACTGGGATGATCAATAACGGATGACCATACCGTTGGATTAGGATTTTCTCGCATACGTAAACGTCGAATTAATCTATCTACAGCAAACTGACTAGGACCATCTAAAAACCAATTTGTTAGACGCTCTAAATTAATTAATTCTAAATCTCCAGTTTCATTTAGTCGATTTAAATATTCTGAATGTGTAGTACATATTAGAGAGTATTCGTTAGAATTATTTATATAATCCTGTTCCCGTTCAATCATAGTTAGTAATGAAATCAATTTTCGACCAAGTCTTTGTTTTTTTAACGCAGGAAAGATTTAACAGAAATAAAGAAAAAAAGGATGAAAATCGGTATCCAAATCACAAATAAATCATCTACAGATGTTGAACCAATGTTATTATTGACCAAATTAGTTTTATTGAACCGGTTAAACGTAATATTTCTAAAAAGTATCTCTTAATAGTAAAAAAAATTAAAATTTTAAACGGTATAGGAATTTCGCTATATTTCTAAATACACCGTTTGTAAGCAATGAATATTGGATGACGTGAAACTTGAGTCCTTAAAACTCTATCAATCATGTTTAAACATTCCAAATTAATGAATTCAAATCGTGGTCAATAAATGGGATGAATTTACTTGATAATGACTTTGGATCGTTTCAAGATACATTATTATTTAATATGGTACACAGTGATGCATTACTGCTAATTAAATGGCGCATCTAACTCAATATGTTATCCATAATTTTAGAAACTTCAGATTCGATTTTCTAAAATATCGGTACTTTGCGATTTTCATTCGTAGTGACAGTGGAGATTCCCAGATATTTGGAGAAAATATTGATTTATGTTCCATGCTTTATCTTTGAGGAGGAAAGATTTAAGAATTATTATTTACTGTATACTGAGATATTAGTGTACTGGTGAAAATAGACAATATTTCTTCTAGATTATTAATTTCATTAATATCCTCCATTAGGAAGTTTTCTATATTTTCATACCCTGATTGATCTGAATCAACTACTGACTACTGATAATACTATACTACTGTGTTACATCATATAACAGTTCACCACCGTTTAACGTAATAAACTACAAATCTGGAACAGAAACAGAAATTATAGAGGATTTGTTTACGAATTGCTTTGAATACTCAATCAGGGAGCAACGGATATAAGTTTTAATTTCAATCAAAGCCTCTTTAATAGTGGAGATAATTAACGACATGAGTTGCAGTGCATGATCTTATGTTAGACTGTATGATTGATTGGTAAAGCTCTACTTAAGTCACAAGTTAATCAACATCCAATTTGTTTGGGGTCATCAAGGCATATAATGTTATAGATATTTACAAAGTTAATATTATTATAATCTAGGTTTAATATAACTATAATAATAAATCAAGTGCTGGTAGAAAACGAGAGAACAAGAGAGAATTTACAAACCTATACAGATTGTCCGGAATTAACAGCGTTGTATGACGGGAACACCGGATAGCGGTCGTGAATTAACTAGAGAGGAAAATGTAACTTTTATCAAACTAATCTATGCTATATAGAATTGATGAGAGGTGACTAGCAGTAGGGTAAAGGACACGCATCTCATCCTGTTTGGGACTCGTCAGCTGGATGGACCTAGATTACAGAGATGATATTCACTCTGGGGTTCAAACCAAGTACTTTTTGCTTCGAACGTTGTGGATTTAAGTTTTGAGGGTAGATAGACACTCACTCATACAACAGGGTGAAGGTTGACTCTAAGATGTAGGTACATCTAGCTGACGAGTCCTAAACAGGATAAAACGCGCGTCCTGGATTTCAGTGTTTGTCAAAATTGATCTATTCCAAATAACTTACGTCATAAAGGCTACATCGAGGCAATCCGCACAGGATTCACATGTGTTAAATAACACTGATCAAATTTCAGTCAGAATATCAACCACGACACAATGCAAACCACTACAAATTAGATTTTTAGAATCAATCTTTGGAATATTTTCCATAAGCATTTTGTTTCAAAAATAAGATGATTTATCTGCTTACTTAGTGTGAGAGAAATGTGGTATTCCAAGGCGAGAGTGATGATGTAATCGAGAGTACAATGTATCACCAGGTTGAGGTTTCAATGACGTATCCATAAGCAATCGTGTTAAACCACGTAGACCAATTACAATAGACTGATTGCATTCAATTGATTCCTACAGATTAAAAAGAGTTTACTAACAACTTCTGATCACAAAGAAATCTGTGCGTATAATGTACATATATCAAAGAAAAATATTTAAGCGAAATATTCCAAATTTACGACAGAATATTTACTGCTTGCGACAACAGAGGAAGGGTAGAAATGAATAATCATCGGTTATTTTGTGACTTTTCTATTCGTCCTTGATTGTCCATTCGTTACCTCATAAGTATAGCTTATTATTTGAATATTTTTGTCAAAATCATAGCTTTAGTATCCTAATATATATAATCTGGTAGTTGGGTAATGGTTTTATTTCCGAAAATGTATTTGATTGGAATCGGTAAATCATCCATTTGACCATCGTAGTAAACTTTCAATAATTATCAAATCGACATAGATAACATTATAATATTTTATTGTTCATATCTTAAGACGAATCACTGTATGTAACATGAAATGTAATGTGAGGATTTAATGACATTGAGATGAAATTCAAATTATCCGGAGGAAGTTATAAAACTAAAATTTCAGCTTACTGGGATTCAGGAACTTTAAGGGGATTTACAATCATTTCATTTTTAGCTATAATTTGATGTCATAGTCTGAACGATTGTAAATTCATTCGGTATTGTATGAGAGTCTTATAAATAATTGATAAACAAGGAAGCAGACATCTTGAATATACACGGTTCTCTAAGGATTATCTCAAAAGTGTCAAGTTAAATAAGTCAATTACAAACACGTGTGTTGTTTTGATTAGAGTAAACTCGGTATAGAAGTGATTGTTCATCAACATACCTCTGAACTTGTTAGTTGTCCGTTATCAGATTCTATTTTAATTGAGTAGATATTTTGCTGAGCATCTGATGCAGAGGATAATAATTCTAAGTAATTTGTCCAAATCCTTTCAAATTCTCTACGATCTAACCAACCCATAGCGTTAAGACGGGTAATGCTCACTGTTAAATGATCTAAATCCAGGTTTACAAATGAATTAATGCAATCTGGCGTTTTCATATCATTAGATTCATGAAATGACATATTAATTGAACTGTAACTGTATGAACTAGATACATTCAAAGTATGTAGGAGACGAGAAATTCCTGGAAGAAAAAGAAACAGAACATGATGCGTTTTAGAGGTGAAGTAAATTCACTTACTGAAAATGGATAAGTTACATATATGATGAGGAAACTCCGCCTGTAGCTCTCCCAGAGTTACTGCCGGTCCCAAGCCCGGGTAAAGGAGGAGGGTTGGGCATGGGGTTAGCGTCCCCATCCCGTAGAAACCTAACTCGCTAAAAAAACGCTAACCAGAAAAAATAACTCAAACCATTCAAACTCTGCCCTGGGAGGTAGAAGGTCTTCATTTAGAAGAAATATGACGCCTCATGATGAAAGCCGAGTTCCTTCGGAAGCCATGAGGCCGATGGCCCTTCTAACAACCAGAGCAATAATTTTTATAGGTACATGGAACGTCCGGACAATGTGGGAGAACGGGAAGACCAGTTAAATAGCAACGGAAATGAGGAGATACAACTTGGCAGTACTGGGAATCAGCGAAACCTATTGGACCCAAGCTGGACAACAAAGGCTAAATACGGGAGAGATGCTGCTATACTCCGGTCACGAAGAGGAAGATGCTCCACACACTCAGGGAGTTGCTCTAATGCTATCCAAAGTAGCACGAAATGCACTTGTAGGATGGGAATCTCACGGATCCAGAATCATCAAAGCATCATTCAAAACAAAGAAGGAGGGAATCACAGTGAACATTATCCAATGTTATGCACCCACCAATGATAGCAACGACGACGTTAAAGATCAATTCCACAATAGGCTGCAATCAGTCATAGCGAAGTGCTCAAGAAAGGACCTCACCATTCTGACGGAAGTTCTAAACGCCAAAGTCGGAATGGACAACACCGGAAATGAAGATATCTTGGAACTACATGGATTGGGAGAGAGGAATGAAAACGGGGAAAGATTTGTAAATATGTGTGCATTCAACAAATTGGTCATAGGCGGCACAATATTTCCACACAAACGTATACACATAGCTACATGGATCTCACCGGACCACACCACAGAGAATCAGATAGATCATATTTGCATCAATAAAAAGTTCCGAAGGACAATGGAAGATGTGAAAACCAGGAGAGGAGCGGACATAGCTTCAGATCATCACCTAGTTGCGGCCAAATTGAAACTGAAGCTAAAGAAGAACTGGACAACTGGACAAACAGCACCACAAAGGTTCAATACAGCCTTCCTTCGAGATACTGACAAACTCAATGAATTCAAGGTAGCTCTCAACAACAGGTTCCAAGCCCTACAGGATCTACTGAAGGAAGAAGAAACTACTATGGAGGATAACTGGAAAGGTATCAAAGAAACATTAACTTCAACGTGTCAAGAGGTTCTTGACCCAAGAAGCATCATCACAAGGAATGGATCTCTATAGAAACACTGGACAGGATCAAAGAAAGAAAGAACAAGAAGACAGCAATTAACAACAGTCGAACAAGAGCAGAGAAAGTCCAAGCACGAGCTGAATACATAGAAGCAAACAAGAAAGTGAAGAAGAGCATTAGAGCCGACAAGCAGAAATACATGGAAGAACTAGCAACGACGGCGGAGAAAGCTGCAAGAGAAGGAAATATGAAACAGCTTTACGATACAACGAAGAAGCTAGCAGGGAAATATAGTAAACCAGAGAGACCACTCAAAGACAAAGAAGGAAGACCAATCACTGAGATTCAGCAACAGCGGAACAGATGGGCAGAGTACTTCGAGGAACTCCTGAACAGGCCGGCTCCAATGAATCAACCGGACATCGAAGCAGCACACACAGATCTTCCTATAAATGTCAGTCCACCAACGACGGAAGAAATCAGAATGGCCATCAGACAAATCAAGAGCGGGAAAGCAGCAGGACCTGACAATATACCAGCTGAAGCGTTGAAGTCAGACATCGAAGTAACTACAAGCATGCTTCATCTTCTATTCAAGAAGATTTGGGAGGAGGAACAAGTGCCGATGGATTGGAAAGAAGGACACCTCATCAAGATTCCAAAGAAATGAGATCTGAGCAAGTGTGAAAACTACAGAGGCATTACACTACTGTAAATACCGGGTAAAGTCTTCAACAGAGTGTTACTGAACAGGATGAAAGACGCAGTTGACGCTCAACTTCGAGATCAACAAGCTGGATTCCGTAAGGACCGGTCGTGCACAGACCAGATTGCGACACTACGGATCATCGTCGAACAATCAATTGAGTGGAATTCATCACTGTCCATCAACTTCATTGATTATGAGAAAGCATTTGACAGTGTAGATAGGAGAACGTTATGGAAACTTCTTCGACACTACGGAGTTCCTGAGAAGATTGTCAACATTATCCGGAACTCATACGACGGACTACAGTGCAAAGTAGTGCATGGAGGACAGCTGACAGACGCAGTCCAAGTAAGGACCGGAGTAAGACAAGGCGGTCTACTCTCTCCCTTCCTCTTTCTTCTGGTGGTCGACTGGATTATGAAGACTTCGACATCTGAGGGAAAACACGGCAGAAAAATGGACAGCTCAGAATCAATCAGACGATTTAGACTTCGCAGATGACCTATCCCTCCTATCCAAAAGGGCTGGCTTCTGCTGGTCCTTCACGACTCCCTGGTTGGAGTCCCAAAGACGGTGTAACGCAGTGGCTAGAGACGTTATCAGATATGGCTCAGAATAGAAGCCAGTGGCGATCGTGCTGTAACCTCTTACTTTCTTCATAAAAAGTGGTTGTATCTTCCTTAACTGAAAGATCTCTTCTGATTGTACCTTTCCGTTTCCCCCACCATTGTTCTGTCTCTCTCCCTTTTTTTATAATTCCACACGTTCATTACTTTTTTTTCTCTTTTCTCCTTCTCTTCAAATTCTCATTGTTTTGTGTGGCGCATATATATTTGGTGCCCCCCTTGTACCAATATTTATGTGTTCAAATAAATAAAAATAAATAATAAATCCAATACACACGAACAAATGCAGACAAAGACAGCCAGCATAGCAGCAGTCTCTGCATCAGTAGGCCTCAACATACACAAAGGGAAAACCAAGGTCCTCAAACACAACACGGAGAACAGCAATCCAATCACTCTTGATGGCGAAACTCTGGAAGACGTGGAATCCTTCACATACCTGGGAAGCATTGTTGACAAACAAGGAGGTTCAAATGCAGACGTAAAGGCGAGGATTGGCAAAGCAAGGACAGCATTCCTTCAATTAAAGAACATATGGAACTCAAAACAACTTTCAACCAATATCAAAGTCAGAATCTTCAATACAAACGTCAAGGCAGTTCTACTGTACGGAGCTGAGACGTGGAGATTTACAACAACCACCACCAAGAAGGTACAAGTATTTATCAATAGCTAACTTCGCAAGATACTCAACATCCATTGACCGGATACCATCAGCAACAACCTTTTGTGAGAAAGAACAAACCAACTTCCAGCTGAAGAGGAAATTAGGAAAAGACGATGGAAATGGATAGGACATACATTACGCAAATCATCAAACTGCATTACGAGGCAAGCGTTAACTTAGAATCCTGAAGGGAAGCGAAAAAGAGGAAGGCCAAAGAACACATTACGTCGGGAAATAGAAGCGGATATGAAAGGGATGAATAAGAACTGGAAAGAGCTGGAAAGGATTGCCCAGGACAGGGTTGGATGGAGAATGCTGGTAAGCGGCCTATGCTCCTTCACGAGGAGTAACAGGCGAAAGTAAGTAAGTAATGATGAGGTGTTTAAAAACGCAAAGTTTCAATAATAATAATCAAATAGATTTACCGGAAATTTAGTTATCAGAACAACTTGTGAGATTTAACACAGAAAATTGATCAGCTAGCCGTCAAAATTTTAGTTCCGATACAAATGAGGTGGAAACCACGTAGTTTTTTACAGACTAATTTATACAATTAAATTTTTGTTTGTTCCAAAATTTATTCATTGTATTTTCTGTCAGATAGCATAAAAGCTTCTACTTGCTCATGAAATACAGTGTTTTCTCATTTTGTAATTCTTTTCTTGTCGTTGATAATTGACGAAGTGCACAGATTACTCGCTGCATGGTTTCAGGATACGTCTTCCTGTTCAGTTATATTCCTTCCAAATATTATTAACATTATAAGACTCCAAGGAATGACAATATTAATTTAAGTTCACTGTTGGTAAGTCTGCTAATATCAGTTTGTAGATTCAGTCGTTTAGATACAAACACTGTGATATTCTCGAAGACCCTACCATTATTCAGTGTTGCACGTAAAGTAGAAACTAAAAATCGGAATCGTTGTCAGGATAATTCATGATCGAAAGTTAGTAATAGTCTAATGGAAATATGAGGGTAATATTCATTATTACTTTTTCCCCATAGGTAAATTTTAATTACCAACTTTTATCAGCTGATAATAAAATTATACAACTCAGACATTTTACTTTTGTTTTGAAATTTCTAAATACTACTTATAAAATCATTCTCAGAATCTGGCGTCACAGGAAAGTAAACTTATCAGGACAACAAAAACATTTGGTTTTGATTATAAGAAGCTATTTTCAAAGTAGTTTTAGCAATCCAATTTGATAATTTAGTTATTAATTTTGTTATTGAAGCAACTTAATGTATGTGTACTGTAACTAACCAAAGAAAAATATAGTTTTCTGAATTTTAATATTTATTATATTAATATCGATTAGTGATATGAAAAATACAAACAAATAATATACAACTCTAATGTAATAAAACAATTACCTAAGGTGCAAATGTTTAATTGACCAACTATATCTAATCCCGTTGACTGAATAAAGTTAGAACGTAACAGTCTACACTTGCCAATCAGTTGACATGGTTGAATAAATCCACCTTCTATATTTCCTAATCTTGTCTGATTCGTAGTGGAATTTAATATGGACAATGATGCAACTGATGCAGTTGCGCCACAAAAGTGAGAAAGAGTCGATGCACAAATCGAATCAGGCCACCATAAACCCATAATAGGTGGATATAAAGGAGTGAGTAAATTATTTAATAAGATTGTTGTAGATAATTCTGCAGGTAATAATGACGATGGCTTTGTTATCGAATGCTGTGTATATTCATCTAGGATTCTTTGAACAGCAATTATCATATGTTGGTTGGTCGATTTAGACCAAATTGTTGTATACTCAGAAAGACATGCTAAATATGTAGAAAAACAATACAAGCAATTTGTACAGTAGACACGAATACAGTGTTTTTAATGACGAACACTGAGTTCGGTAAAAAGTTTACTTTAGCGAAATAACCCTTTCCGGAAACTGCATATCTGTCTAATAAGTTATAGGTCTATGAAATGTAGTATTGGAAAATACAAACTGTTAAAAACCAAAATTCCATATTTTAGTATGTAAATCTTGGTAGTTTCTCATATAGATTCGCTAGAAAACTACAATACAATAAATAAATCTAAGTATTTTTAAAATGAGTGTATCACTTTAGAACTACTTTCGTTAGAATATGATGATTGGCACCATTTAGTTTTAATTATCATCATTTGCATATCTATAACTTCATATTCGACCAAGATTATTTTCATATAAGTGATTGCACAACATTACAAATTTTAGTCATTAAAATTACCAATTACCAATTAGTGACTGGTCCAAAACAATCAGAGTATTATAGCTGAACAGGGAGGTAAATATTTTCAAACGCCTAGGATGTAACACTACATAACATCTTTAAAAGTTCATTTGTATTGGTTATTTGGACCTTGCCATTGAATTTTAGGACTGCAATTGATCCGGCTAGTGAGTCTCGAACAGGGAAAATCGCGTGGATTGAACTCCACTGTTAGCCACATCTGCTTAATCTTAGCTTCAAAAGTTCACTTGGATTTACCAATGTGACAAATAGTTTGAAGAAAATTGAGCAAAAAATATAATCTAGAGAGGCGGAATCGTGGATTTACACTGCTGAGGAGTCTAACAATAGGACGAAACAACCATTCAATGCTTCCAGGTTTTCCATGGTGGTTTAGCTTCAATTGACTCATGATCTCAACTATCTAAAAAATATAACTTCAATGTAACATCTAACCAATAAGATGAATAAGTAAATAAATGCTAAGAACAGTTTACTCATAGATGTTTATGTTAAAGAATTATTCCCCTCATGAATATAAATTAGGATCTATTTTTTAAATTTTATAAATCAGCAGAACTCATTTGAAGTCTAACATGACAAATCACACAAACAAGATGAGAACGGTAAAACTAATCTGTTGACTCTATCATTATAAAACAATCAGTAAAATATGTACATCAGGAATGTTAGTAAACTAAAACTGATTTCTACAATTTTGACTGAGGTGGTAAACCCTTTAGTACTTTCTCTCTCTCACAATAAACTTTTACTGTGTGGATTATTTAAGTGCATAAAACTAAAAAGAATCAAAGAAAACAGTTCACATATCATTAAACTTGATTGAATTTTACTGGTTACGTTTGTAAAGTGATTGCATTTGAGCTAGAGGACTCAATATTAATATGTACTTATTTAATAATGGATAGTTTGTAAATGTTATGTACGAGAGAATGGTTAATTGTTTATTAGTCGTCACTGAAAATGTGTTTTCATACAATAAATCATAAATCATCATGATTTGTGGACATATCATTATATAAATTAAAGGAATTTCTTAACAAGAATTCAGGTTTGAGAATTATTTTACTTATGAAAATTAAAAATGAAGAGGTAAGAGACTGTCCATCATTGAGTTCAATTTTTGCACGTAAATTTGAGGAAATTTTGATTTCAAAATTTGAAATATTCCCATAATGTAAATTTAGAACAACATATATAAGCGAACAATATTGTTTTCGATTAGATCCTCATCAGGCTTTACTCTAATATACAGTAATATTTATATGCATATACGAAATTATTGAACCAATCAAGGTAGTTTATAAATCAATGATAACGATGAATAAAACGATTACATAATATGTGAAAAGTACAAATAGATAGTGTGATGACAGGTGTACTAGTTTTTATAAGAATAATAAAGGCTCAAATCAACGTTACATAATCGGAAATAGGTCAATGATTAGAAAAATATAGATAGTGAGATAACATTTATAAAAATTATTATAAGATGACGTAATGAGAAGTGTTCAGATAATTGAACCGTGAAAAAATAAAAATAAAATAGTAGGAGGGGGTGAAGAAGAATTAATAAACCAAGAGAAGGCTTGAAAAGAAAATAATAAATAAATTCATTTATTAAGGCCAAGGGAGAGATAAGGGTGTTACAAATTTCTTCTGAACACAAAGACTCGGCTAGTTGGCTCGAATTCCTATAGCTTCTGCTATGTGTAAGAGACGAGATCGAACACCATAGGGAAAATTAGTGGGAATACGATAAATAACTTTAAATGACTTATTTCTGTCCACTACATGACCACTATCGATTAAGTGTGAAAGAACTGAGCTGCGTATTGTCTTTACGTAACCTTTTCCTAACCACGATGGGAGGTGTTCACTAACTCTTTGGTTCAGTTGCCTGGTTGTGCGCCCAATATAGCTTTCTCCACAGGAGCAGCTGAATTCGTAGATACACATAGAAGTGGCGTAACCAGGTAACTTGTCCTTCAGTTGGGGAATCACCATAGATCGGGTCGAATACGATAGACAGAGGTTGGCAGCATTAAACGTTCTCTTGACTGCTCTAGTCAGTCTATCACGCAATACATCACCAGCTACATCACCATTGAATTGCAGCTTCAAGAAAAGAGGTTTCTTATTAGCTGTTAGCGTCACTATCTTCTTGTTTGTTATACGCAAGTGTTTCTTCAGGAAACGCTGTGGATAACCCATTTCAATCAACCTATTATGAATTTGCTCTAATTCCATTTCAATTGTGTCAACAGAGTGTATCTTCATGGCTCTACTTGCTAAGCATTTGACTAAGTTTCTCTTATAATGAAGAGGCACAAAGCTTAAAAAATGTGTGTATTGGCTGGAAAGATTTTTTCTATACACACCTCTGCTGATAGAACCATTTTCTTTTCTACTTAACAAAACGTCAAGGAAATGTAGTTTATTATCCATTTCCTCTTCACATGTAAATTTAATTGCATGATGTTTGTTATTAAATCGTCCCAGCAGTTGTTCTTTACTAATGTTCTGATCTGCAATGATGAAAGTGTCATCAACGTAACGACAGTATAAATCAAGCTCATTGATAACCTCTTTGAGAGGTTTGTCTATAATATGTGTTATTAAAGACAAAATGGACATTCATTGTGCATTTCAAAAGTTCACGTCTAGGTCCCATCCTTGCGGATTTTTTTCTGGCTAAACTAGAAAACGGACCTCTCAAAGAGGTTATCAATGAGCTTGATTTATACTGTCGTTACGTTGATGACACTTTCATCATTGCAGATCAGAACATTAGTAAAGAACAACTGCTGGGACGATTTAATAACAAACATCATGCAATTAAATTTACATGTGAAGAGGAAATGGATAATAAACTACATTTCCTTGACGTTTTGTTAAGTAGAAAAGAAAATGGTTCTATCAGCAGAGGTGTGTATAGAAAAAATCTTTCCAGCCAATACACACATTTTTTAAGCTTTGTGCCTCTTCATTATAAGAGAAACTTAGTCAAATGCTTAGCAAGTAGAGCCATGAAGATACGCTCTGTTGACACAATTGAAATGGAATTAGAGCAAATTCATAATAGGTTGATTGAAATGGGTTATCCACAGCGTTTCCTGAAGAAACACTTGCGTATAACAAACAAGAAGATAGTGACGCTAACAGCTAATAAGAAACCTCTTTTCTTGAAGCTGCAATTCAATGGTGATGTAGCTGGTGATGTATTGCGTGATAGACTGACTAGAGCAGTCAAGAGAACGTTTAATGCTGCCAACCTCTGTCTATCGTATTCGACCCGATCTATGGTGATTCCCCAACTGAAGGACAAGTTACCTGGTTACGCCACTTCTATGTGTATCTACGAATTCAGCTGCTCCTGTGGAGAAAGCTATATTGGGCGCACAACCAGGCAACTGAACCAAAGAGTTAGTGAACACCTCCCATCGTGGTTAGGAAAAGGTTACGTAAAGACAATACGCAGCTCAGTTCTTTCACACTTAATCGATAGTGGTCATGTAGTGGACAGAAATAAGTCATTTAAAGTTATTTATCGTATTCCCACTAATTTTCCCTATGGTGTTCGATCTCGTCTCTTACACATAGCAGAAGCTATAGGAATTCGAGCCAACTAGCCGAGTCTTTGTGTTCAGAAGAAATTTGTAACACCCTTATCTCTCCCTTGGCCTTAATAAATGAATTTATTTATTATTTTCTTTTCAAGCCTTCTCTTGGTTTATTAATTCTTCTTCACCCCCTCCTACTATTTTATTTTTATTTTTTCACGGTTCAATTATCTGAACACTTCTCATTACGTCATCTTATAATAATTTTTATAAATGTTATCTCACTATCTATATTTTTCTAATCATTGACCTATTTCCGATTATGTAACGTTGATTTGAGCCTTTATTATTCTTATAAAAACTAGTACACCTGTCATCACACTATCTATTTGTACTTTTCACATATTATGTAATCGTTTTATTCATCGTTATCATTGATTTATAAACTACCTTGATTGGTTCAATAATTTCGTATATGCATATAAATATTACTGTATATTAGAGTAAAGCCTGATGAGGATCTAATCGAAAACAATATTGTTCGCTTATATATGTTGTTCGAAATTTTGATTCTGAAAAATTAAATGATAATCCTCAAGTGTTGTATTCTGAAAACAGAGAAAACGACAACGATCGGAAGGAACAATATACTTATTCATAGGTAAAGGTAGACGAAGGTGAGACTGTTAACCTATCTTATAGAGAAGAGTTTTATGCTGGATATGTTAGAACATGGTATGAATACTTTGCCGAATACTTGCAAAGCTACTTAATTTGGGATGTTATTGATAGCTACAAAATTTATGAGAAATGTAGATTAACGAGACATCCCCAAGACTTCAATTGAAAAATGTTTGACTTTTGATGCAATTTATCACTGATACATGAAATCTAGAAACATATAAATTTATGCTAATTAAGTTTTATGGTCGTAATTACAATCTTAATCATTCATATTGTTTTCACTTCAAAGGAACGTGACACTATGAATGAGTTTCGATTAAAAACATTTCAGTGATAAAAATTGACATCATTTTTAACTCTGTCCGAAACAAAAAAAGGTGGTTTGAAAGTAAAACACATCATTAAAATTAAATTCATTCAATCAAAAAGAAACTAAACACTATTTACCTGATTTATCAATCATCCATATAAAGACAAGAAAGATAGATAAAATCTTTTTACCATCACCACCGAATAAATCCACTCCTTTGGCAGAACGATTTAGTGCTGTTTGTAAAATATAATTTAATAATCGAAGACTAGTTTGTATCATTGTTACAGATACGATATAATATCGTGGAGGTTTATTATTATTATTATCATCATCATCCTTAGTCATAACTTGTGACTGATTTAATACATGATCAGTAATGGCATAATTATTGCCTGAACAAACACTAGCTATCTTAGAATATGGATAACCCATTGAATGAAAAAAGAACTGAAATAATAATAAAATAAAGAAAGATAAGAGAACAAATTAACTGAGATTATTTGGGAAAGAATTCTAAACAAATGTTAAATCATAAAACAAGTTCGTCAACAAAATATAAAAAAGAAAATGAGGCTCTGGAAAAAAAAGCTCATTTATAATGTTGAATTGATTATAGGAAATTTTAATATTTATTACAAAATCACACAAAATTTCTATTCTCATAGCTTTTAGACAACCATTTGAACCATTAAATTAATAATAGTTAATTAAGACTTATAGATTCAAGAATATACTATGTGGAGCGGCGGTGGGTTATTGAGTAAAGGATTCGGCTTTCAACTGCTGTCTCACAGGTTCAAACCCCGATCTATTTCGGTTAAAGCAATCAGGTAGTACTTTCAGCAATCAAACAAACAATGAAGCCAAAATCCCAGTAAATAAAACTACAATTGGTGAATTGTATGATACAACATGGTTGATTTTTTTGTTTAATAACCTGCTGGTTTAGTTTTCTTTGGACATGTTAAATATAAAGAACATTCCATCTCAAGAACGGAATAACGTTTCTTTTAGGAATATTCTTAGTTTTTATAATGAAGAGTCAAAACACTAGTGGTGTTTTACAACTAAATTTACAATTTCCGTAAATAAATAGCATAAAAAGTCAATGACAAAGTGACGAAATCTGAAAATCCATTCCCAGTTTGGTAGTAAGATGTAACTTGGATAATTTAAGCATCAATCAGATCTATTATACTTCTAAACGAATAGGAAAAGCACTCAAAGAGATAGTAAATAATGATAAATGGAAGTTGCTCAATTTTTATTTTATGCATCAATACGTACAATTGATATAAACTCATTACTACAATAGTATTAGATCTATGCAAACTAAATTTTTAACCACTGCCGATCCAAACAACCGGCTAGTTAACTTCTTCACAAACACTGTATTAAATATAGATTATATGAAATATGGAAGAGGAATCGAAAGTTTCCTATCCAAATCATGACATTTTATGTAGATAATTATTGTTGATTTATCCAACATTTTATCAATGATTTCAACTACATTTAAGGTGTTTTTACCCGTGTTCGAATCCATGTGGAATTGCGAATAGACAATGCTAGAAAGTTTAGAAACTACAACAAAATATTCGTTGAGTGCTTAATTGTACTAAACAGTTCACCAAATTGCGTCATTTTATGATGTAAAAAGAAAATTTTGCAGTGGTATATGAAATATTCAGAACGATATTAAATAAAGGATAGACGTTTTTATGTGAAAATTTAAGAAAAATTTCAATTCTAAACATACTTCGATAAGAATGAGTAGAAAACTCAATGCATCTGTTTCTTTTTCAATTGGTACTAAGTCCCCCAGTGGTAAATGAGGTAAAACTCGAAGAAACTCTAATAAAGCGAATGATAGACCGGTTAAATATGTTTGTACAGAATCAGCCAAATTCGGATCTAGAAATTTTGTGTTAAAGAAGATAAGTTTGTCATGTCAAAATCAGGTAAATATAACTATTATAAAACCTTAAGATAAAAATAATAGTGTGTAAAACAGAGATGACACATTCAACTCATTGTTACCTTGGTCAACAGTACGGTCGTCATGTTCTGATTACTATCGACGGTAAACATGAGGGGAGTGATACGACATACGCCACCGCATGCTCCAGTACATTCCGTAGTACGATTATAACCTCAAACCCTAAATTTGTTGTTATCTTTTTGTTTTTCAAGAAGTATCATGCAAAACATTTTTCACTCAATGTCATCATACCATCTCGGTTGGTATTTGAGGATTGCTTCTATTGGTGAACAATCTATTTAACTACCATGGCGCTCTAGTGATTTTACTAAATCATATTTTACCCACTAACTACGAATTGACATTAGTCTGTGACACCTGCTCACGCTACCGTCCAAGTGAACATGTGCACATCATAAGTAAGTCGTCGTCGTCCCTCTCGTAGCAGTAGTTAGCCTACATTGCATTTAAATATTGATTTTATAGACCAATTTAATAAGTATTTAGTGATTTAAATGTAATTTATAGGAATCCAACACCAATTAAAATAATGATGTTCTATTAATAAAATGAATAGAAAAAAAAAAGATTACCTTTAATTTCTGTGAACAATTCACTGGGATTTGTTACAATATTCTGTATATTTTGAAACAGAATTTTCTGACTGAAATGAATAATTGATTAAAGAATGAAAGTTATTGCTAGATATTTCTAAAAGATAAATTACTTATTTAATTTATGCTGATTACCTTCACAACTTCGTCGATAGAAAGTGATCAACACCAATGACTAAATGATATGGCACCAGTCACTACTCAACAATGAACTAGGGTGATTATGTGCATTAGACTGAACTAAAAATGGGGAATAGATATGATGATATTACAAAAGTGTATTTATAATGATATTTTACATCATATCAAAGTGAGCCTCTAAACATATTCCACGAGCGGCAAATTAGTTCGTTCTGATGGGTTTATTTGGTACTAGCTGTCTCTTTAATCTTTATTTTATCTTTCATTGATCTAAGTAAGATGCTTATAGACGTTTTTACTATCACACTTAGATCTGTGATTGTCTGGGTGCACTGACCCCAATGATAACAGACCATAGCATCCCATCACTAGTTTATTTTCGTGAATGAGTAGGTGAAAAAATTCGTTGTTTTGTCTTTCGGTTTGTATATAGTAGAATAAAGTAATTGTGTTGGTTTGTGAGCAACATAGATCCCAAAACGTTTCGAAATGCTTGTATTAATTTCTGAGAATTCTTTAATATACAGTAGAACGATCTCTCTCTTAGTGTGCAGGTGATGGTATATCCATGTGCTAGACATCTGCAGATGAAGTTGGTGGGTATCCATCTTTATAGAAGAAAGGCAAAAAATGAGGTACTTCAAATTTTTCGTGCAGTGACAGGACGGCAATGAACTCTCTTCGCACTGAATAGCATTTACACACAACTATTCCTAGACGTTGGTGGAGGATCGCCGTTGTAATTTGGTATTTGATCATTATGGGATGGGTTCTTGTATATTTGTGTTTTCATTGTTCCTGTCCTATTGACTAAGAAAACCACGGATAAACTTTCCTTTTTTGAATCTTCTCTTGTAAATTGGATGTCATTGAAGACGCGGAGTTCTTTGGACGAAATTGTGGGATCGTTCTTCACATAGTGAATGCACACCAAATCAAAATGTGAGGTATTTTACATTCGAAGTGCGACAGTTATGTACTCTGCACGTTACGGAGGTCATCCTAGGATAGCATATAGTCGCTTGATATTTAAATTCATAGATGTTGAGTTTCAAAATTGATCCACATTATACTATATAACTGTATTACACATTTCGGTATGAATGAATAAATCTAGGAAACTATAGAGAAAAACTTACGCAACTCGAAATAAGACATTTACACAAGGTGTGATATGTGATGTTTTTGAGCAAGGTTTATGAGTTTGATTTGTAATTTCAGGTACAGTAGAAAAGGAATTTAGAGATAATGATGAAGACGCGGATGACGAACCAAGTACCAAAGCATAGTAAAGTATTCGCGGAGAGCATCGAAGGCATACAGAATTGAGAATATTGGATATCTTTTTTTCCTTAATATTCGTGCATTCTGACAGAGCATGAATCAATCGAATTCCATTCAATGCAGCTGATAAATCATATTGCATCAAGAGATCTTTTGCTGAATTCAATAACCAAGTGGTCTCATTAGGTTGCTATAATGTTTTAAAGAAAAAAAACCAATGGTAATATATCTATCTATTGGAAATTAAGGATACGTCAAGATAGATTAAACGATAGATAATTGAAAAATATTCCAAGGTATGAAACAGTCGGAGTTGAATAACTATAAAATTAAAAAAGATTGGTCTTATAGCAGCCTTCCACAACTTTTTATTTGCATGACCTACTTCGCTAGGTCACATAAGAGGCCAAGAAAGGCCTGTCATATTTTTATCATCTATTGACTGTGATCTAGATATTTGATCCACTACTATGTATACGAATGTGTCATTTCGATTGAATGCATGTTTGCATCTTGATCATCATCTATTCCCACTTTATTGATTGTAAACACAGACAATCAATGACTTTACTCACGTATTGATTAGCACCGATGAAAAATACACACATTCTTCATTTTCACTCAATTGCTCTGCAGTGTGCTTGTGAATTTAGTTGATGATTAACAATACGCACTTTCCCAGCACAACTGGTATTCATCCTTTTGAATACCACCAAGTGAATTCATAACGATACTAAGAAAATTAGATTGCTAAGATATACATAGTTAAAAGGTTATTACACTTTGCAGTCAAAAGTGGAGGAAGTAACCTCAACAATCTCACTAAAACAACGTTCAGTAAATATGATAATGGACAGATCAAGTCCATTATAATATATAATTTACGAGAAGGATAAAAGAAGATGAGTGATAAATACAGCGAGAATATAAATTATGTTCACCATATAAACACAACATACAAAGAGTGCATAAATATGTACATAATTACAATTGATTTTGAATGGTCTTAAATATGCAGATTTTACAGACAGCAATTTCATCATATAACAACTAACAAATGTATCGGAAAATTTTCAACTTCAGCAACCCTGAGGCTTCTGTACACTAAATAAAAAGTAGATTATTGACAATATTATATTTGCAATCACATTATTAGACGATATCACCATGCTGTGAGCAAAAAGTAGGAGAGTATTCCATCAAGATGATTTCGGGTGCTATTCGATATATAACGGCGGTTTTAACTTCCATGATATCCACTCTGTGGAAGAATATTTCTACTTGAGGAATCTGAAAAGGAAGCTGGGTTAATGATCGTCTTAATGAATTGAGAGCATAACAACAAGGCCAGAATGGCAACTGCTCGAGGCCGATCACACACGGTTTTTACATGAACAGATTCCGATATGTTAGCGCAATACTTTAAAAGGCTTTACCACCGGAGTAAGATGAGGTATGAGATTCTTAGGGTCGACTTTTACTAAATCCTTCTTTCCTTCGTGAGAGGCCAGCATAGCTGTAGATGCTGGTTGTCCGAGGGAAATACACTACTAATATTACACCCCTCTACAGTTAGTACTATGGACTCACCCCGGACCTTAAGTTTTTGTTATTACTGTACCTTTCTCCAACCTACCTGGTTGGAATGATAGAACATAGAGGTACAAGTGTTCTAGTAAACATAGCTCCATTGAAACATTACGATAGACAAGTCAAGAAAAAGTATTTCAGTTAGCAAAATATCGAACAAAGTCTCTGGAAGTTGGGAAGGAATTCTACTTATTAGTACTTTAGGTTAACGTGTTGCGAAATTTACTTTAGATACCACTTTGATGT